ATGATGCCATGAAGCACCACCCTCTTTTCTTTCCCTCAGAACCTACTCCCCTCTCTCTCACAATGTTTCTGGACACTGGTAAGTATTAGTCATAGCCTCAATACAATTGTATCCCATATTTATAAAGTTATTTTTTTCCCTACCAATCAGTGTACAACTTGTTAAGTAATGTCAAGTCAGTTTTGACTCATAGGTGGGTGTGAACCACCGATCTTGAGTTTAGTAGTCCAGTGCTTATAGGTGCCAAATATATGATACAACTTGAAAAACAAAACACCTGTCCAGAGCCAAGTGAAGTACATGGTGAAGAGCAGGTCTTCTACAGTTACTGAAAGAGAATATTAAGTAGGTCACTGGTTTAAGTGACCTACTTAGATGAAATTTGAAAAACACAAATTTCTTCCCTTTTTCTAAAATGCTTATAGTCTATATTTCCACAAGAAAGTAAACAATTGTTTCTCCTATAGTCTACTTTTCCTTGTAGATTGATAATGACAGATAAAAATAAATATTTCTATCAAAGAGTTTACGTACTTTATCATTTCCAATATGTATGCTTCTTAGTATTAACATCTCATCGTTGTATCCATAGTTTCTGACACATGAAATAGGTGTTGACTTAAATTTTTAAACAACCATGAGGCATATAAATGAAAAAATTCCAATGCAAAACATTTTAATAGGTTTTCAAATATACAGTTATTAGAATATCTAAATATCACTTAAGTTATAAAAATTGGTATATCACATTAGACGATTCTATAAAATAAAAACAGAAACACAAATCACATATCAACAATATCCCCTGCAGTCAATACCCCCTCAACAGTACAAATTACAAATACATTTAGAAAATATATATATATACTGGAGGCGTTATTTAGACATTTAAACCAAAGTAACTGACTAGACTAAGTACATTCATTCATCAAGTACAATAAATTTATCATTGCTGCTTATAGTCACAAATAACACAATTCTCACTGTAATTGCAAATGCTTCATAAATCTTCCAGTACAATTCCCGTAGTAAAGTGTCTTTGTGCACACCATTTTCATTTATATGCAGGTGCATCATCACATCATATTTAACTCTATTTTACTTCATAGTTAAATTGTTAGCATGTATTATAGGTGAATACCAGACCAAAGTTTAACCCCATGATGACAAATTTTTTAAAAACAAATCTTAAATGTATACAACAATTTGTTTAATCATGTAAGTACTATTTCCTCTTATCAGAGCTTATCAAAATAAGTAGTGAAAATTTGAACATTAACTCCAAAAAAATGGGGTCTCCAACTTTCATAAGACATTAACTATTTTAAATAACAATAAAAATCATTCTATGAGTTAAAAGGTCATTTCATATTCACTGCCAAATTTTAAATACCAGTGATTTAAAGGTTGAGGCTTAAAATATTGGTATTAAACTGTAAAATACAATAAAAATATGTGCAGTAATTTGCTTGTGAATATGTAATAGAATGTATGTTACAGTAATGTTATTTTAAACACTACTCTAAATGGATAGTCCAAGTAAACATACCTTTAGTGGCAAGAAAAGTGAAAAATTAAGGCCTTTGTATGCCATCTATAATTTACAACTCAAAACCAAAAGTCAAATACAGATTGCAATGCTGCAAAGTATCATTCGTAGCCTCACTAACACATAGTCTACTGTATCTCAACTCAATACTTATCTTCACACAACTCAAATTTACATTATCTGCATATCCTTTAATGTCTTTTTCTCTGTATCTCTATTTTAACAAAGTCCCCACCCCATCTACAGAAAATACTGGGAATTGGCTAGGAACTTGTCTGACTGGTTCACAAGTTTATACTCAGGACCTAAAAATGCTTGGCATATAGTAGACATCCATTAACTATTTCTGAATGAACTAAGAAATCTGGGCTTCAAAGGCAACCCTATTTGTCTTCCCATAATATTAATGTACAAATGCTACCTCTTTGGATGACCAAAACTGGTAATTTTTGAATAAAAAAATCGATGTCTCCTACCTTATGAAAACAAGACTATAGGATGTGGTAGAAAGTACAACTAAGGCTACAAACACATCAAATCAGGCTTGAAGGCACTGGATAAGAAAGATTATTACAGCATAAGTTTTTAAAGCAAATTAAATGCAAAACTGAGAAAAGAAAATGGTACTAAAATAATGACAACACTTTAAAAAATGAACACAATTTCTGTAACTGCACAAATAAAATTCATTGTTGTATCATTTTCTCTTACCCCAAATTTTCTGAAAGATTCTAAACAAATGTTGTCAGTTGCATGAGGCAATACAATTATAACTGAAATATCTCTAGAATTTAATTCTTGTTTCTTATATTATAAACTTGATACATACTTTATAGAGATGATAGGAAGAATATCTTGGAAATAAAAAATACAAAGTTGTAGTCAATCAAAATTCTGAAGCAAGTTCTTACTCAGTTAAACACTATCTAAATCCCCACAACAGCAAACTGTAGTGTAAAGAAGGATAAGTACAATCTTTTCAGACACACAAAGAATGACTACTGAGTTGAAAATACCACAAGCTCCATGTTAGAGCCATTTATTACACACATTTTCATAATTGTTTCTTAAAAAAACTACTTGGATAAAATATTTACCATTTTAGCATCGCTTTTTTAATTTATTTGAATCTATGCAGCAATTTCCATCCATATTAAAATATCAATTAATGTAAATACTTTATTATAAAACTATTATACAATTTAAATCTTTATTAGAGAAATGTATTATCCACCATCCACAATTTCTCAAAGTCCTTTTAATGAGTGCAATTCAGTAAGAAATACACTTAAGTAATTATGTTTCTGGGAGTAGGGAGGGCAAACAATAATCTTATAACCCAGGTTTACCTATCCTTATTATATTATTTCTTAAATAATTATATGTTCAAATATGCTTGGTGAATAGTGATTATTCATCCCCATAGTGGTAAATTTCAGCAATCTTAAAACACTGAACTAGTTAGTAAAAGAGTTACATGTCAATCACATAAATACTTATTCTGTTACCTATAAACTGACTTATAAAGTAACAAAAATGGGCCTTGGATAATAGTGGTGTAAAATGTAAACAAATAGAATTAAATGTTAAACCCTTCTCTGAAACACAGAAAAAGAAAAGCACTTTTTGTTATATTAAAACAGACCAAAAAACAAACCCAAAAAACAACAACAACCCATGAACTATTGCATCAGAAAGGTAAGACATTGATTTTACAAACTTATATTTTAAACATGGATAAAGAAAATATTTAGTTGATCAAAACTTTATTGAGCTAAAATGTGCAAAAGATCTGATAATACTTAAGTTTATTAAATTCACTGTATATAGGCTAACGCCACCTCATACCAAAAAAAAAGTCTCATCTTAAATAAGATTCAAAATTGTATTTAATTATGAGTTTAAGATTTATTAAACAACTTCCCAAATAACAACAGCAACAAAAGTCCATTTTATAGGGAAAAAAAAATAAAAACATTTTGACAATATTATGTCTTGAAATGTAACTTCAAAAAAAGCTCGGCCAATGCCTATGTAGATAGTGGAGAAGAATACTGAATTCTCTATGAAAATGACTCCAATTTTGTGATGACAAATTGCATGTGAATTTTCAAATGATTCAGATTTAATAGGTTTACCAAAAATATAAGTTATAGAGCATTTGGTACTTCTGTTTGGAGTCAGATATTTGCAAAGTGCCCTCAGAAAGAGGTGGGAAGATAAGACAAAAACAAAATTAGGGTACTTCCCACCACACCACAACACACACATTTAAATTTAAAAGCTTAAGCTGTAATTACTGAAGGACATGATATCCAAATAAAACATAACTTGAAAACATTTTTCAGGAATATGGCAAAATTCTTCAGCTATAGAAAAGTGTTATTAGCAAATAAAAATGTAAGTAGTGAGAACATAAACACAAACATTTATCTGTAAATTTAATTTCAGAGTTTAAAATTTTTTTAATTTAAAAACTTTACTTTTTAATTGGTGGGTATAAAACACAGATAGTACTTAGAAGCCAATTTTTTTTTTTTTAAAGAAAAAATAGCATTGCTTTCCATAAAATGAGTAAATTTTAATAAGAGTCGGTGGGAAGTTTGGGTTTATACAAGTACCAAACCCTAAATAATGCACTAATTAACACATAAATGAGTACTTTGATAACACTTGAACTACTGAATGATGTCTTTCATTGCTTATTAGTTTTGAAAAACACTATTTTTAGCAACATGTTTAAATTACTGCTTAACTAAATGGAAACAAACATTGAATTATATCATTTTTAAAATCTGAAGTTATACAAACAAGAACTAAGACAAACTTTCAATTATCCACATTTTTGAAGGTGCAGTTAGAGTAAAAGTTATTATGCAGTTAATGACAATTTTCAGAACTTAGTAAATATAGTCTCCATTTTCCCCATAAATGAAAATTTTTTAAATTAAAAGTATTTTGTTCTTTGCAAATAATCTTTCTCTCTTAACCCGGGCAAGAATTTATTTGTTCATTTCAATGGTATTTTCCATTGAAATATACTAGTGTGTGTGTGTGTGTGTGTGTGTGTGTGTGTGTGTGTGTAAATTGAAGAGAAAATCTTGTTTTGGAATGCAACATTTCTAAATAATTTCACTAAGAAGCACCTTTTGATATGCTGGTCTGAACTTTATTAATAAAGAACCTAACCAGTACTTTGTGAAGTAGAATTTTCTCCAGTTTTAATAACTTTATACACTGAGGACTTCAACCTGTGCTTTCTCGAGTTCTGTAGGTGTTCTAATAATTTATAGTTATATATGGCTCATTGTCAAGGTTGGGTGGACAGAGATTTCATGATAAACTGGCTACAGAAAGTTAACGAAAACTCTTAATAATTGAAAAATGGTTTGCACTTGCTTGAGCCAAACAGATGTTTAAAAGCCATGTACCACCACATTCCCTGCATAAACATTTTTAAGTTTCTTTATTCTTCATAGTTTTCTAATGAACAAATATTTACTTTTCCTGAGTAAGATTATAAAAAATTTAACCCTTCTACCAAAAGTATAAAGACAAATAAAATGTAGACTCACAATACAAATTTTTTACATAGTATTACAAGTGCAGGGATATTGACCACTGCTCTCAATTATGATTGGCCCACCTTTTAAAAAGATTGCAACAAAGGATTTAGCTGTCTAAAATACTCTGCAGTACAGTAATTAAATGCTTTAGCCCATGAACATATCCCTCATCTTTTGTGTTGCTAGGAAACACATGAGCAAAATCTATCATTCGTACTTCTACTTCTGCAACCTCTTGACAACCAGTGGGAAGGTGGTAAAAAACTTTTTCCAGTTTGGAAAGTACATTTCCATTTAAATGTTCCTGTGACATGCTTTTCCAACCATTGTCGTGCTCCGTATTTTCAACTTTCAAGGAAGTCTGACTGTGATGCTTTTTTGAATACATTTTTCTGTGGCGAGCATACATCTTAGACAAGCTTTTACCTACTGAAGCCTCTATTTTTCCATTCATTGTGGAACTTAGCATGTGGAAGTTATTATTGTACTCCAGTACTTCTGTATCTGACAGTTGTCCTTTAGACAAAAGTTTGTCTGCCAAAGTTCTGTCATTTAGTTTTGTAGTGGTTGGCTGAGATGAACCTTCATAAACAAACAGTAATGAACTTGCATAAAAGTTAAGCTGCTTCTGGTTTTCAAACCACTGCAGAATTTTTTCAATCTTCTGAATACTGGCAGCAATAGCATCTTTTCTTAAGCAGAACCCATTATGAAAAAACCTGGAGACTCCTGTAAAAAAAGAATTTTTAGGATTAAAATGAAATTATAAAAGAGCTAACAGTTGGGAAGTAAACCCATTATAGATACAGTTTTTCAATTTCCACCCATCATTCTTTACAGTTAATTGAACAGATCAAGTTCTAGTCATACAAAGAAATTTGGATCTCAATGTAGTTTTTGGTGAAGATGCTCTAAACTTTAGATTACACTCATGTAAAGTAAAACACTCCTACTTAAGACATAACAAATTAAGTACAGCTAGACTGGAAAATTACTCCTATATCTATATGCTGTTGAGAAATGTGATTTCAAGATTTGTTTTCATTTGAGTGGAATCCCAGGGGAAAGTAGGATAACTGATACTACAGTCACTGAAATGAAATCAACTGTATGATTCGTTGATTGTAAAAGTGATGACCAGCTCTGTAAACATTCACTGAATTCACATAAAATTAAAAAAAAAAATTTTGTTCAATTTGCCACTTTGAGCGTTTTTATAGTAAAGATTATTTGTTTAGTACAATCACATTAATAAATCTGTACCCTCATTCATTGCTGGTGGGAATATAATATAGTAATGTTGTTGTTAAGGAGCTCTGGTAGCGTAGTGGTTACGAATCGGGCTGTGAACCTTAAGGTCAGTGGTTCGAAACTACCAGCTGCTCCGCGGGAGAAAGATCAGGCTTTCTACTCCCGTAAAGATTTACACCCTCGGAAACCCTGTACAGGGTCGCTATGGGTCGAAACCGACTCGACGGCACTTAACAACAATGTTGTTGTTGTGAAGTGCCGTTGAGTCGGTTCCGACCCATAGCGACCCTGTATAGGGTTTCCAAGGAGCAGCAGGTGAGCTTGAACTGCCAACCTTGCAGTTCAAATGGCTCTGCAGTCTGGTGCATTAACCCACAGCGCCACATCAAAACTCCAATATAGTAATTGCTGTTGTGTTGTGAAGTGCCATCGAGTCGATTCCGACCCATAGCATTAACCCACAGCGACACACTGTGAAAAAAAGTTTGGCAAATTCTCAAAAATTTGAACAAAGAATTATCAGTCAAAACCAGTAATTCCAATCCTAGGTACACACATGCAAAAAGTAAAAGAAAGGATGCAAACAAAAACGTGACTAAGTTCATTGCAGCATTTTTCACAGTAGTCAAAAGAAGCTACCAAAATGTCTATAAACAGATGAACAAAAGGTAGTATCTAAACACAGTGGGGTACTGATGATGCATGCCACTGAGGAGGTTCCAATTCATACTAACACTATAAAACGTTTCCAAGAGTGGCTGGTAGGTTTGAACAGCCAACCTTACAGTTACCAGTTCAGTACTTATCCTACCACACCACACCAGAACTCAACAAAACAGTCACAAAAACAAATGAAGTTGTGATGCATGCCACAAGATGATGAACCTTGAAAACATGGGAACTGAAATAAATCAGTGGCAAAACGACAAATACTCTCTCACTTACGTAAGTAAATATATAGAAATTAGAGTATTAGTGTAGTCCTGGTGTGGTGTTGTATGATAAGCATTGAATTCCTAGCCACACGGTCAGTGGTTCAAACACACCAGTTACTCCTAGGAAACCCTACACTGGGTTGCTATGAGTCAGAACTGACTCAGTGGTACTTTAACAACAACAACCCAGGAGTGGAAAAGAGAGGAGGGAAGGGGAGTTTGTGTATATGGGGCATGGTTTTATGTTAATGGTAGTAGAGCACTTTGGAAAGGATAACAGGAATGATGGTGCAACTTGAAGAATGTAATCAATATTATTGAAATGTACATATAAAAATTGTTGGCATGGGAAATTTTTTCTTATGAATATTTTCACCAAAAACACATAAGAACTAACCTAAAACCTAGAATCAAATTATAACAATGTTTAATGATAACAAGGCCACCATCATAATTCCAAATCAAATTCAATTTCTATTAGTTCTCGATGATATTGACTAAATCAGTCTTTTCACAAGAGTTAAACTGATTTTTAGGATTCAACACTACTCCAAACTAAGTATGTTATTCAAATTGAGACTTTAAGTATTTTAATTTATTAGATTAATAGGGCTCTTTTAAAATTATTTATTCCCATTTCATCATATTTATAAATTTTAGGTTATCGAATAAAATATATAATATGATTTTCTGTTTTAAATAGCCCCTCTCACTACTGTGCTCGTACAGGATCAAGTTGTTAGTCTCGGAATATATTTTAATAAATAGTCAAACGAAATACTCTCTTGCTATTGGTTATGTACACAACAACCTAGCTAGGCGGAATAACCAGTTTGTAATCAACTGCTAACCTAAAGATCGGTGGTTCAAACCTACACAGTGCTTCCACAGAAGAAAGGACTAGTGAACTGCTTCTGAAAAATTACAGCCACGAGAACCCTATCTCTATAGTATAGCTCTAAAATACATGGGGCTCATCGTGAGTTGGGAGCCAACTTGACAGCAGCTAAAAAACACAACAATTTCTAGCAAACACCAACTGTACATAAAACAAAAATTCTTCAAACTTTTTACACTACAAACAAGCTCTTTCCCATATAAGGACAGAGCTAAGAATAAGCTTCTAATGCAGTATTATTATCAGGAATTTTTAAAAAAAATAGCTTTACTTTTGTAATGTTTTGTCTACATATATTTAAGAAGCATACATGTTAACAGACTTTTTATAGTTAATATCAACTAATTTTTCATTATGTAGCTCTGTTCATGTTGTTAGGTGCCAACCAACTGGATCTGAGTCACAGTGACCCTACGTACATCAGAACAAAACACTACCAGGTTTTCCACCATCCTCACAACTCTTCTCATTTAAGCCTATTGTTGCTACCACTGTATCAACCCACCTCATGGGGGTCTTTCTCTTTTTCACTTACCCTCTAACTTTACCAAGTTTGATGTCCTTCTCTGGGGACTGATCCCTCTCGATACCATGTCCAAAGGACAAGAGATGAAGTTTTACCACCCTCGCTTCTAAGGAGCCAGAATGTTGTATTTCTTCCAAAACAGATTTGTTTCTTCTGTCAGTGCATATTACTTTCAATATTCTTAACCAACATCATAATTAAAATGCATCGATTCTTCTCTGGTCTTCCTTATTCATTTTCCAACTTTCATATGCATATGGTATTCTCTGGTATTTTCAGGTATAAGCCATAGTGTCAGTCAGGGGCATCTTAGTCCTCAAACTGACATCGTTGCTCCTGAATGCTTTAAAGAAGTCTTTTAAAGCAGATCTGTCCAAAACATTATGCAATTTGATTTCTTGACTGAAGCTTTCATGAACACTGATTGTGGATCCACGTAAATGTAAGCCTTTGACAACTTTAATCGTTTCTTCATTTATTAGGGTGGTATTTATTGGTCCAGTTGTGAGGATTTTCGCTTTCTTTATATTGAAATGCAATCCATACTGAAGGCTATATTCTCTGATAGTTGGCAAGAAAAGTTGTGTCTTGTACATTTTGCATGTTAATAATTCTTCCTCTAATCCAGATGTCACATCTTCTTCATATAATCTTAGTCTCAGATTTTTTATTCAACATAGAGACTAAATAGGGATGGTGAAAGGATACAACCCTGACACACAACTTTCCTGATTTTAAACCATTCAGTATCCCCTTGTTCTGTTTGAACAACTGCTTTTTGGTTTATGTTCAAGTTCCTCATGAGCACAATTAAGTTTTCTGGAATATCCATTCTTTACAATGTTATCCATAGTTTGTTATGAACCACACAGTCAAATGTCTTTGCACACTTAATAAAGGACAAGTAAACATTTTTCTGGTATTTTCAGGTATGAGCCATCTGACATAAGCAATGATAGACCTTGTTTCATGTCCTATTTCTGAATCTAGTTTGAATTACTGGAAGCTCCCCCGTTGGTGGACTGCTGCAACCATTTTTTGAATTATCATCTGCAAAATTTTACTGGTATGCAATGTTAAATGATATTGTTAGATGATTTCCACTTTCCACTGAGTCACCTTTGGGATCAGCACAAATATGGATGTCTTCTAGCTGCCTGACCATGAAGCTGCATTCCAAATTTCTTGGCACAGATGAGTGAGCACCTGTAGCACTACACATCAGTTTGTTGAAACATCTCAATTGGTTTCCAGTCAATTCCTTGGAGCCTTGTTTTTGCTATTGGCAAAAAAATAGTGCAGAATGCACTCCTTCCTTCAATACCATCAGTTCTTGATCCTATACGACTCTATGCATTCCTTCCTTCCATCTTCTTTTGTTGCTTCTTGCATTATTTAATATTTAAGATAATATCTAGTACTTGGGCTAGAAGGATGGTTCATAAATGTTCATTAGGTTTTTAAAAGAATAAAATTAAAAAAGGATTCAATGAAAAAGTAAAAGAAGTCCATTCATGGACCCATAGCTTTGGTGTATCATGATTACTATATGAAACAAAGGTCCGTTGGGGGGCGGGGGGATGGGATGTTTCTTACTATAAATTAAATCACTGAAGTAGAATTAAAACTAAAATACCTTTAGAATTACTTTGATGTCTATTCAATAACATAAGCACTGAGATATAGATTTCGTAATCCTTACCATCTTTTATAGTTTCTTTCGTTAAGCTTCTTCCAAAGTGCTGGTTTTGTGTCTCATAACTGTCAGAATGAACATGATAAACCTGTCCAAAAAAAAAAATCGACCATTAAAAAGCAAACACACCCTGATCAAATAGGGATTATCAAGAAAATACAGAGATGGTTCAATATAAGAAAATCTAATTATATAATTTAATCTAATAGATGTAGCGAGGGAAAAAAACCATGTCATATAACAGATGCTGAAAAGGAACTTAACAAACTTAACATCCAATACTAATGGTGAAGGGCTAGACAGTGTTTTGTTCTATTGTGTCCAGAGTTGCTATGAACTGAAACCAACTCAACGGTACCTAACAACCCCAAACAACTACGAAAAATGAAAACTCTGAAGAAAAGAAGGACACTGGCAGTATGGCAAAATAGCTATCCCAACCCACCAAATATCCCTGTCAAGTGTAATGAGAAAACAAGGAAGCAGATAAACAAGAAGTACATTCTAAAACAAGTATTTTTCATCATTATTATTATCAAATATTTTTCTGGAATTACTAGCAAATGCAAAGATATAAGAACAAGAAGTTAGAAATGTAATAATTTGGAAAGCAGAAGATAAAATTATTGATCGAAGATAACAGTCATATACTGTAACATAATCTATAAAAACTAATACAAACAATGAGAATTTAAAATGTTTATTCTGAGTATATTAATATTAGGACAATAAGCTTTCATATATACAATCAATTATAAAATATATTGTGTTGTTGTTGTTAAGTGCCATCAAGTCAGTTCTGACTAAAAGAGTGGCTGGTGGATTTCAACCACTGACACTGTGGTTAACAGTCTAGTGCTTATCCTATAGTGCCACACCAGTCCTAGAAAATATAAAGGAAGACCCCAATTATACCTACAACAACAAGAAAGAAAGAAAAGATTTACATGAAGACATCATGAAACCATTTCTGAGTAATGTTTTCTCACATACACAGACACAAATCTACGTTTTCAGAGAAGACTCAACATTCAACTACATATGAGAATTTAGTATAATTTTAGCATTTCAAATCCATGAAAAAGGGATTATTTACCAATTAAACTGAGATCTGAAAGAAAAATAAAGCTGTATTCATCTCATACCAGGATAAATTCCAGTAATGGTGGTGATGTGCTGTGGAGTCAGTTCCGACTCATAGCAAGCCTGCACAGGGTTATCGAGAATGTAAATCTTTACGGGAGCAGAAAGCCTCCTCTTTCTCCCACAGATATAAATGCATAAAATGAAATAAATGCCCCCACAAAAAGAATGCTTGAGTAACTGGTGACTAGGAAAGCCCTTCGAACCTAAACTCAGAAATGTCTACTGTATAAAATATGTTTTAAAAAACACTCATTAAAGGACAAGCAGACTGGAACAGCTGCAGTGACAGAAGATACATCTTCATGATGAACCTGACCTATATTCAGAGTGGTAGTTACTCTAAATACCAACAGAGAGGGAAAGAGTCTTCAAATCAAGTTTCAGTGCTATCCACTTAGGTAGGAACGGGCAACTTAGACACTGGCTACCTAAAATGAAGGGGCAATAAAGGCACGAAGTGACTGGTTTACAAGGTTTCAAGAGGGAGCTTAGTTTAAGAGGGTGGGGGGAAAGAAAAAGTCCCCACTGAATAGCTATCATCTTGTCTGGATGGGTCTGGTGAAAGGAGATGGGGATAAGATTCGTAAGATTCAATCGTGAATAACTGTTATCATGACTAATCGTGACTGTCACACTTGTAAGGGTAGAAGTTTTGTAATAAAAAAAGGGGAGTGGTTAATCTTACAGTCCAGAAATAGAGGACCCCTGGACCATCAAGAGAAGAACGCACAAATAGAATGCGGGACCTTATCCAGAGAAGCAGCAGCGCCAGATATGGAGGCAGAGATGGGGGCATAGAGAGGGGGAGCGGCTGAGGACTCTAAATTCATGGACTAAGAAGAGAAGGACTAAGAACTGGTGCCCAGGAGTGGACTTGCAGAATGTGCCCTTGTTGTTGTTGTTAAGTACCATGGAGTCGGTTCCAACTCATAGTGACCCTGCACAGGGTTTCCAAGGCTGTAAATCTTTATGGGAGCAGAAAGCCTCATCTTTCTCCCACGGAACCACTGGCAGTTTCGAACTGCTGACCTTGAGGTTGGCAGCCCGATTCGTAACCACTACGCTACCAGAGCTCCTTAGAATGTGCCCTAGAGATGTAAATTATTATATATGCCTGGGTGGGTTTTTTTGTTTGTGTATTTTTTAAAAAGCTAAAGTGGATAGAGAGAAATACTTCCAACTCATGGTATATGGAAGGGATTATTATAATCAATGTAATGAAACAAGTTATATGAATGGTTGAATGTGAAACTGATGATGTGCCCTGTAAACTTTCACTCAATCCACAATAAAAACCTTAAATTTAAAAAAAAAACAAAAAACACTCATTATGTTATTATGTTTTACATGTAGACATCAAATAAAAAACAGAAAAAAATACTTATATGACAAAGGAACATAGTCACTCTTACGGGAAAATGACAAAGGATATGAAAGATTCACAGAAAAGAAATCAAGTCACTCTCAAGCAAACAAAGATGCTCAATTACACTCATAGTAAGTACAAATAAACATTTCCCTGAGACACCACTTTTCATCCTATTAAAATTGGCACATGCACAGAAGTCTGACAACACATTGCTGGCAAAGGAATAGGCATATTCATATTCTGAAAGTTGAAGTATAAATTAGCAATCAATCCTCTCTATCGAGGTTTCGCAACAGCAGCACTATAACTATTGTTGTTAAGTGCTATCGACTCAATTCTGACCCTGTATAGGGTTTCTGAGGTGATAAATCTTTGTGGGAGAAGACAGTCTCATCTTCTCTCACAGAACAGCTGGTGGGCTGGAACTACAGGCCTTGTGGTTCACAGTTCAGTGTTCATCCGACAGAGCTGCTTAATTCTTTACTGCAGGAATGGGGAGGGAGTGTCCTGACTACTACAGGATGTTTAGCAGCATCCCTGGCCTTTACCAACTAGGTGCCAGTTGAACCATTCACCCAGTGTGACAACCAAAAATGGCTCCAGACATGGCTAAATGTCCCCAGGGGGGCAAAGTTGCCACTAGTTGTTCTGTATCTAAACTGTCAATACCTATTAAAATTACAAATACATGTAAGCCTTTGATTCAGCAACTCCCCTTCTAGAAACTTATTCCACAGATACATGGAAAGATCTCCATGATACGTTAAATAAGGAAAACAGCAAAAGAGATTTTCTGAAAAACAGAGAGAGAGAAAAGAGTGCACAAACATGCAGTATCTTTGTTTGTTTAAAACATGTAGGATACATTGGGGGGGAAATAACAGCATTTAGTATCCTGTATTCATTTTTATACTTTTTAGAGTATGAACTATACCACTATATATTATCATCTTAAGAAAAACTAATTATTTTAAGAGAAAAAGCATTAAGAATATATTTACTTAGAGACTGATTATTTAAAGTTTTTACTCTGAAATAGCTAATTACCATCTATCTCAAAAACTTCACTACACTGGAAAATGTAATGAATGTGTTCTACACACACAAATGTGTTCTATACACATATGCACACACACAGCCTCTTTAAGATAGACAATCCATCTAGAACAAAGTTATTACAAAAGAAGGTACTTTATAAACACCAAAAACTGTACAAGAGAGATGATGTTTTATAGTAACAACAGTGTATCCAAAATTTATTAAGAACAACAAAACTCATGTCCTCTATACACATAACTATATATTAGAGATTTTCAAAATAGACACCACCATTGTATTACTGAGGTGCATTATCTGAACTGAATTAAATTCACGTATGAGAATTTAAATTTCACACAAGGAGAATTTATATTTCACACATTGAAACTTCCTTCTTCCTCTATTTATCTACTTTACTAGTTAAAGTTGGAATGGAAAAATCCAATCCCTACATACAATCCAGACATCAGTCAGTAGCAAAGACATGTGTAAATCAAAAGTTACATTCCCACCTTTAAAACATAAACAAGAAGCAAAAATGGTGTCAGTTCCGGGGGAGGGGGAGGGGGAATAAATTTTGTAACAACATATTAGACAAGGAACTATTATCTAAGGTTTGTAGAAAACTACAACACCTCTAAAAGAAAAAGACAACCCAATTGAAAATTAAGTATTGGCCATGAACAGACACTTCACCAAGGAAGACATTCAGGCAGCCAACAAACATTTGAAGAAAAATGTTCATAATCATTAACTACTGTTGTTGATGTTATGTTCTGTGGAGTCGGTTCTGACTAATAGCGACCCTGTACAGGGTTTCTGAAGCTGTGTATCTTTATGGGAGCAGAAATCCTCATAAAGTCAGTTTCAAACTGCTGACCATGAGATTAGCAGCCCGATTTGTAACCACTGCGCTACCAGAGCTCCTTTCAGTAACTATTAGAAAGATGCAAATCAAAACAACAATGAGATAACATCTCACACCAGCATTAATAGCAAAGTTAAAAAACAGAAAACAGCAAATTCTGGCTATAGTGTGGAGAGACTGAGACACTCCTATAGCTGGTAGAGCTATAAAATGGTCTCACTGCTGTGGAAAATGGTACAGCATTTCCTCAGAAAGTTGGAAATGGAAGTACCGTATGACCTAGCAATCCCTCTACTTGGTATATATTCACAAGAAATAAGAGCTGGACCTGCATAGATAAATGTGCACCGTTGTTCACCACAGTACTATTCACAATATCAAAACGATGGAGACCATCTAAGTGCCCATTAATGGAAAAGTGGATAAACAAACTTTGGTACATACACACAGTGGACTACTATAAAACAGCGAATAACAATGAGTCTGTGAAACACCTCATAACATGGATGAACTTGGATGGCACTGTTGTTGTTGTTGTTGTTGTTGTACACCATGGAGTTGGTGGACTCATAGCGACCCTGTAACAGGGTTTCCGAGGCTATAAATCTTTAACAATCAAACACCTATTCCACATGCTAGGAGGGCTTCTTATAATTGCCAAAAGTGA